TAAAGAACATATCCAAAGGAATTCACAATTCCAGAATTCTCTTCATCCCTCCCTCTTCAGATGATGCTTAGTTTAAGACTTTCGATTTTGGAGCCTTTTCTTTCTCTTTTCTGCTGGTTAAAATGGGAAAGGAGGCGCTGGAGAACAGGGGAAGTCTGGAGACCTCTGAACTCTGACCTCAGTGCTCTCATCCTTAAAATGAGGGTCGGACTAGCTGACCCCATCCTTCCTGCCACTGGCCATCTCTAGGACGTCTCGGCTCTGCTGCTGGGTTGGCTCTCAGGGCACTCAACACGGCAAGGGGCAGGTTGGCTGAGGTGACCAGGAATCTCGAGGGGACAACTCAGCAGCTTCAGTGTCGCCCCCACCACGACCTGGGGGCCACTGCTCAGAAGAGACTCAGGAAGAGCATGAAGGAAAACGTCCTAGATTACACTGTCTGTTAAAAAACAATACCAAAAAGATAACTAAGTAAAATAATGAGATAAAACAGGTCCTGCACATATCCTTTCATTTGGTATCATCTTTTCACAGAAAACACAGAGAACTCCTGTCACAAAATTAGAGGGAAAAGCCAGTCTTCTATAAGCTGAACGTTTTCTAACAGACATCATTACAAAAGGGGAGGCAAGTTATTATAATTATTACTAGGGGACCAAAAATTTTGAAAAAGAACAGATGCTTTATTTGTTGGGTGGGGAGGGGGAGTGGCTAGTGAAGGGGAGGGCGATAAAGCAAAGAACAAGCGTGGACTTGTTACAGCGCTGGGGCTCGTTCACATGGAGTCTTATGCCCATCACACACACCCACTCTCTACCCTTGGTATTTCTGGCCCAGGTTCTTCATGGTGTTAACCTTAGAAAAAGGCTCTCTCTGCCTCAGAGTTACTTCACTATCATTACCTACAAGGATGGCATAAAGACCTCCACACGAGATGCCACTTCAAAATGATCTACACACCAGGACGTCTCAACAGCGCCCACAGGACATCAGTTCTCCGAGAGAGAAACCCTGCTGGCTGCTGCGAGCGCAGAGCTGGGCTGGTGTAGAGTTACATGATGACTTCAGGATCCTGAAAGTCACCAGGCACAGGGACGGGGGGCCAGGGACGTGGTGGGGCTACTGATGAAGACTGCTGGTTGCCCCTCAATAATCATGTTTCCATGAGGCCAGCACAGTGGTATAGTGGTTAAGTTCACGAGTTCCACTTCAGCGGCCCAGGGTTTGCAGGTTCAGATCCTGGGTGCGGACCAGAGCACCACACATCAAGCCACGCTGTGGTGGCGTCCCACATACAAAATAGAGGAAGATGGGCACAGCTGTTAGCTCAGGGCCAATCTTCCTCAACAAAAAGAGGAGGATTGGCAACAGATGTTAGCCCAGGGCCAGTCTTCCTCACCGCCCCCCGCAAAAAAACTCATATTTCCTTGTCCCTTAAAATAGGACATTTTTTTTTTGAGGAAGATTGGCCCTGAGCTAATATCTGTTGCCAATATCCCTCCTTTTTTTTTCCTTTTTTTCTCCCCAAAGCCCCAGTAGATAGTTGTACGTCATAGTTGTACATCCTTCTAGTTGCTGTATGTGGGACGCCGCCTCAGCACGGCTTGATGAGCAGTGAGTAGATCTGCACCCAGGATCTGAACCAGCGAACCCCGGGCCACAAAAGCAGAGCACAGGAACTTAACCGCTATGCCACCGGGCCGGCCCCAGACATTTTTTTTTTTAAAGGTGGGCACACGGCCACGTGGAATAAAGGCTACATTGTCCAATCCACCTTCCAGCTGGGTGTGGCCTTGTGACTATTCCCCTAGCCAACGGGATATAATCAGTGGTTGCTAGCCAATGTTTAACAACCAGCTCTCTTGGGGTGGGAGTGATGGGGGCACCCTGGTTTGTTTGCCAGTTTCCATGGTATCAATACTCCCACCACGGCTAATTTCCAGCTTCCACCTTGATGGCACTGAACATGGAGTTGGGAAGAGCTGCAGTTCTCACAAGCTGGTACCAACAGACTCCTGCCCATCACCGGTGCAATGAAAGCATACATGTGACTTTTGGGAAATGTCCTTAAAGGAGGAGACAAGTCTTAAATGGTGGAGGCATGCCCTCCTCTGCCCCTCCCTGCTGGCTGGAATGTGGATAGGATTGATAGAGATCCAGCCGCCACACTGGACCATGAGTGGGAGGCTGAGTGCTGAGGAACGGCCTGTGTATGAAGATCAGGCTGTTGGGCCAGCCAGAAATGGACCTGCAGCCCTCACTCACGTGACAACTGCGAAGAAGAAGAAAACTCCCATCTGTCAATGTAACTGAGACTTTTAGTTTTCCCATTCACAGTGGAATCCATCCCAGCTGAGGGCATCAGGCATGCTGAATAAGGTGTCTGAACAAAACTAGGATTTACACCTGGCAGAATCTTAAAGGATTCAGATTTGAAGCAACAACAAGAATTTCTGAACCTTTCTGGAAAGGACAAAGAGGACAGAGGGGAATAAAGTGTGGGGGGCGGGGAAGAAGGCCTGTGCCCAGCTGCTGCTCCCGAACATACACCCAGCCTCTTCCAGAGCACAGCAGAGACAGAACCGCCCCAGACCACGGCCGGCAGCCACGTGAGTCTTGCTGGTGGAGCAGCCAACAGAGGAAGGGACTTGAAAGGTGCATCTCACCTCAGCCCCTCCTGTGACCTGCAGACCCACACAAAGAGCAAGCGAGCCTATGCCAGCAAGGCTCCCTCCTCGCATACCTGGCCAGCTCCTGAATCCACAGTCTGCGGGCTCGCGGAGGACCCACCCACCAGCGCAGTCCAAACCCTCCGCCTGAGTGAGAAGGGCCTTTCTCAGACCTCTTTCCTCTACAGCACCTTTCCCAACACGAGAGGAGAAGTGGGAGGTGTATACGGTCACCTGGGCACAAACTGAGCTGACTCGGGGAAGAATAGGCAGTTCAGTACATTTTGCCTTTCTGGAATTTATTTAAAATGTATTTCTCAGGCATAGGCTGGCCTGTTATTTTCTTTGTGTTATACAGTGGGTTCCAGACAAATGTAGAATGACTTACTTAAAATATGGATAAAATTAATTATTACACGACCATCCAAAAAGTCAATATGCAAATAGAACATAATAGTGTCACAAGTATATTCTTATCCACTTTCCAATAACCTGTCTGGGATCTGTAGGGCACAGGTGCGCACACGTCCAACAGCAGTCCAGCGAGGCTGACCGTCTGTGATGGCACTAACCCATGCACTGCTGCGCGCTCTGAGGGGACCCACAGGATAGTTCCCATCACCCTGTATCTGACGTCTCTGACTGCACACTGACTCGACATCAGTCTCTTGACAACTTCAGACTAAAGGCCTCTTGTGTGATCGGCATGATTTTCACGCCCTCCTCACCACCCACACCCACCGCTCCCCAATACAAGTGATGCTGACTCGAGGATTGACGGTGCAAGTAGGGGGCACTCTCCGTGACAGTGGGAATGGGCGGGGAACAGCGAGAAGAGAGGAACCAGCCTGGCTGAGGCACACACATGATGAACACCTGTGTGAGAAGGGGTTCTGAAAGCAACTACATAAATCACAGTCTACTTTTAGGATAAAAACCAGGCAAAAACGAAACTTCTAGTCACATACGCTCAAGAATCCTGACAACAGCTCACATTTACAGGGCCAAGGAGCTTTCCAAATAATTGCAGACACTTGCTGCAAATACTTGAGGTATAACCATTATCACTCTTAAGTCAGACATCCAGGCACTGGAGGGCCCTGCCCAGGTTCTCATCCTGGCTGCGGCATTAGAGCCAGGATTAGACAAACTACGTATGTTTGCCTTGCCTCAGCGTTTCCATTTAAAAAGTAGAGATCATCAAGCACACTTTGCAGGGTGGTGTAAAAACTAGAGAGAATTGACATAAAGCACGTATGCCAAAGGTCTGCACAAAGCAATATTCTGCAAATGAGAGCTACATAAACTTTAGGTTAGAAAGGAACATACATGGTTGCTGTCGATAAGCAATCAAAAACTGAAATTGACTAGTCTGATGGCATAGTTTTAAATTATAACAAGTAAATACAAACTGAAATGAGCCAACATGTATTACATAATCCACATTTCAATCATATGGGCCCCAAACAAGAAAAATGAGACAAACTCAGACAAAATCTGGCACTGCTCCTCCTGCTCTGTTCTGTAAACTAGCTCCATGTTCACGTCTCTGTCCAGTGCCCTCATCTCTGCACCCACCGAACAGCACCTCTGCTTCCTTGGGCAAGAGGGCTAAGTCTGCCATTTTCCTTTTAATGGAAGCTTAATATCTACAGACGACCCATATCATCCCACTGGACCAGCAACCAAATTCTAAAGTGTAGCTTAAAACTTTGTGAAATAACTGTAATTCTGTAAAATAAGTCTACCTGCCAAGAAATCTATCTTTGGCAATTCAATTCCTAGGGGTAAATTGACACCAAAATTTTTTAAAAACGAAATTACCTTTTGTAGTCAGAAAACATATATCTAAGCAAGCTCTTTGCTTTCCTCAAATATAATCCCAAATAAAAGGAAGAGAGCTGCTTCTGGAGTCCAGTACTCAACCTTCTTCACAAGGGAAACAGAAAAGATCGTTATGAGCGGTTCAGAGGATGTGAGGGAGGTGTGGGAAACAGCCACAGAGGGAGGCTGTGAGCCCAGTAACGGGTTGTGAATTAATTCTTCAGAACAACAACTTAGAAAAGATGAATGTGGGGTAAAAATGTCCTGACTTAGGACCAGCATCGCTTGTTGTCAAGACTCTGTAAACTTTGAGCCAACTAATCCTGCAGCTTCTAAATTAATTTTGTAGTTTGTTTATTTCAAGTGTCACAGAGATAAATGCTAGATGTTTTAGTTATGTGCAAATGCTACGGAATTTTCCTGAATAAATACATTTTACATCCCTTGGGGTGTATATTTTGAACCACCTTAGCTAAAAGTCAAACAGAAGCAAGGAAATAAACTCACTTGTCAAACTCGTCAAAAGGATCACAACTCGGCAGTTTTGACAGAGCAAGTCGAAAATGTTCCGCTAGAAAACAAATGGAAGATTATGAGTAAAAGGATCATGGCTTCTTAGGTACAGAGCAAGCCACAGTGTCCTCCCCCAAACCCATTTCCAACTGGTATGGCCACAAATGATTTATTCTGGGGTGAAAATTAAGGATACAACTGCAATTAGCCAGTGCTGCCCGATAGGCACACTCAAAATGGTAAATGCTCCAAGGACACGTCCCAAAAACCCCAGAAAAATAAGACGATTAATCTGAAAACATGCATAAAAAGATAACTAAAAATTAGCAATATCAGATGAAACTGACAGTAGTACAGATATGAACAGTCAGCAAGTTTAAGCCTGTTAAATTATCAGATTCTCTGCAATATTATTTTAACACACACACACAGAGGATCAGCTGAATAGGCAAAATTTAACTCAGAAAAATGTAGGCTCATAACCTCCTGGGCTTTAAGAGTCTCTCAAAAATTTAGAACATAGGGGTTGGCCCAGTGGCATAGTGGTTAAGTGCGCACTCCGCTGTGGTAGCGCAGGGTTCACAGGTTTGGATCCCGGGTGCGGACCTATGCTCCACTTATCAAGCCATGCTGTGGTGGTGTCCCACATATAAAGCGGAGGAAGATGGGCACAGATGTTAGCTCAGGGCCAATCTTCCTCAGCAAAAAGAGGAGGATTGGCAATGGATGTTAGCACAGGGCTAATCTTCCTCACACACACACACACAAAAATCTAGAATGTAAAGCTGTGTACAGCCAATGAGTTCTCAACGAGCAGAGGGAAAAGTGTTACGTCATTAGTAGGTGGAGTACTTTTCATTAAATTTAGCAAAAATAAAATATCCACTGATTAAATTAAACGATTGATCAAGGAGCTAGACCTTACTGATAAAATAAAATAAAACTTCCAAGTAAAGAGGTGCAATGGGAGATGGGAGGAAGTTAACCCACAGGGTTATCCTGCTAACTCTAAATCAGAATAAAGTAAGACATCAGAACTCGTAAATAAGAGGGTGGCAAAACAGAAGTAAAAAGCAGTTTCTCGACAACAACAAAAAATCTACCACTTTTATTCTATACTATCTCAAAGGGAGTGGGGATTTGTATATTAAAACTTAATTCCCTTCATCCCATCCCAAAATCATACCCTTTAGGAATCATTATGAAGCAGAAAGATTAAAAGGCCTTAAAATTACATAAACATGTGGTTCACATCAAACAGCACTCATATTTATAGGGCAGCATAAGAAGAATATTACTGACCTGAATTTCTTATCCCATAGGGCAAATCAAACTTATCGCCACCATACAAGGAAGCAATCTTTTTAAAATCAGCTACACACAGAAAAGGGTGAAACTCATGAAATCTGGAAGAAAAGGATAAAGAATGATTTTCCCAAATACCCACAATATTCGCAGGCATTTAAAGTCACAACTGAAAACAACTGTAGTGCATCGTTCATATTGCTATACTGACTATGTATGAATGTATAACTATTTTAAAAATTCTTTAAAAATTGTCTTAAACAGCATTTCAGTATTCCATGGAATGGGATATACAATGGAACTTACAACCGGAATGGAAATACTTTCTAGGTCATGGAACCAAAATTATGTTACAGCTTCGGGGGGCTGGGGAGGAGGGAACAAAACGTAAAAACAAACCAACACCAAGTGATAAAAAGTTAATCCATCTACAGGAAGAAACAAAGGAATAACGGAAGATGAAAGTATTGATGCTAAGCCACTCCCAAATTAAAAAGTACCATATCTATGGAATCGTGTCAGCCGTGAAAATAAAAATAAGTGAAAAAGTGGATGCAGCTAGGACCAAACTCTCTCCTGAGGTCACTAGATTCAGATTTACTCGAGAACAAGAACTGCTCTGCTGAAGGCCGCCCCTGCCCCGATCTGGCACCCTCAGACGAGGGAGGAAGTTTGACGAGGGCAGGGTGTGCCTGTTTTCTTTCACTTTTAGCGCTGGCACAGAGTATGCAGGAAACACGTGTTTAATAAATGATTGAATGAATTTAAACTCCAAATTCATTCTTTATGAGACCATTATGAAATAGAAAAAATAAGAGTTTTTTTAATTTTAGAGAAGGAACAGGTATTAAAGCTCATATTAACATGCTGTTTTCACCCACCGGAAGGACTGGACGCTGCAGAGCAAATCAAGCTAACCCTTACTGCGACCCCCACACAGCACCCCATTTCTCCGGCCATTTCAGCTTTGCCCTTTCTTAGACTAAAAACTGCGGGTGGAGATCAGAGTGCCCCTGGGGCTTCAGAGGCTGCATGACAAAATGGAAATAGCGGTGGAGGAGGCTGAAAGAGCTTCAGTTTTGTCTTGGCTTTGCCACTCAGGAGCCACTAACCGCGGGCAAGTCACAGGAGCTGAGGATCTTAGGCTGAGCTAAGAACTCACACGGATTCACACTAAGGAAACAGGCGAGAGACCAGCCCCTCCCGCTTGAGACCTGACGTGTGTCCCAGTTGTGACAGTGACAGCAGCCTCGGGGGTCCAGCCAACCTTGAAAGATCATCTCTATTTTGGGGTTGATCCCCAAGCGCAGGATCCGCTCTGGGAAGAGGAAGCGACAGGTCCCCTGACTTAAGACTGAGAGGAGACTCAAGTTCTCTGGGTCTTCTGTGGGGAAGTGACCCACAGATGACTCTGCACCCTGAGGGCAAGGCGACAGAGGACGCTGGTCTCCGGAGTCGTGGGGGTGACAATGGTGAGTAAGGATTAACGTCTACTGCCAGTCAGACCTCGTGCCAGGCGACTCTCATTGTATTTCTAAGTGACATAATTGTTTAGCACCATGTCCCACACATAGTAGCGCTCAGTAAGTATCAGGCCTCTCTGCAATAATTACACAGTACATTGTATTTTATTACATTGTCTTATAGGACATTATAATGTATCGTATGACATTTCTGCTGTTGTTACTCCTACAGAAGCCTGGAAAGGTAGGTCAAGTCTGTGAATCAATTTAGACTAAGACACTGAAGCTATGAGAAGTGAAGTAACTATAGAATTATCTGGCAAAGCTGAAATGCACACTGAAGCTTAACTCTCAGGAAAGATGTCCTCTCCACAGCCCTGTGAGAAGACCTCCAGGGTTCCCAGTCAAGCTTCTCCTGATGCTACTGGCAGAGGAGAAGCACTGACCCCAGAGAATGCTGTTCCTGTGACAAATATGATTCTACTTGTCCTTACACTGTAGGCTTAAACACCTGCTGAGCAACCTTGCATAAATACTTTAACCCTTTTGGATTTTCTCAGAAAGAAAATATCTTTTTTGGCTAATGTTGAAGAGCACCTTGACTATAGACAAGCGTCTTAAGCCCGCTGTCTAAACCCATAGGTGGCTCCTGAAATCAGTTTTGCAAGTCATGATCAGTAAATTTTTAAAAAGTGAATAGAACAGAATACAGGGTGTCTGGAGTAGGAAGGGGGAAAATTCTTTCTTTCTTTTCTTATTATAAATATATGTGTATACCAGGTTCCAAAGTAAAATGTGTCAAAAAACTTTAAAACCACTCTTCTACTTTGCAGTGGTCCTAAGTGGGCACCCCCCATGGATAGACCACAGGCAGTCGTGGCACATCTGTAACCACATACAGAGAGATTTCATGCAGAGAGTCGGTTGGTTTTAAAGGGATCTGTAGTCCCAAAGGGTTAAGAAAACCAGTAACAGAAAGGGGCAGTAATATTATAAAAGAAAATAAGAAAAGCAAATGTGAATTTTTGATCCTTAAGGGATAAAATGCTGAAAAGCTTGTGCCTGTTTTATTTATTTATTTTTTTTTTTAAAGATTTTATTTATTCATTTTTCCCCCCAAAGCCCCAGTAGATAGTTGTATGTCATAGGTTCACATCCTTCTAGTTGCTGTACGTGGGACTCGGCCTCCCGTTGGACGGAGAAGTGGTGCCTTGGGGCATGCCCGGGATCTGACCCCGGGCCGCCAGCATCAGAGCGCGCTCACTTAACCGCTAAGCCACGGAGCCGGCCCCTTGTGCCTGTTTTACACAAACAAGCCCAGACCAGACCATCGTTTATTCCTGTTTATCTAGAAGCAGCCTGACCAGCAATCTGTCAAAGTTGAGGTGACAGAAGAAAAGAACATTTGTGGATGGGAGAGTCAATTCTCTACAAGTCCTGACAACCACAATGAGCAGTCATTATTTCTCTTCTGTGAGACGAGGACGTAGTTCCTTAAGTCAGCGCAGGGCAGGAAAACACGTCTCACTGCACAGTGGAGCCTAGAGGCGGGGCAGGAGAAGCCACAAAGTAATAAGGGCGGAAGCCTACAGCCAACAACAAGGGGGAATAGAAGCCTAAAGGGGGTTCTCGCGTTATGACCCCCACAGGCCTCTCACCCTTGGGGACCCCGGGCCGATGAGTGCCCCGCCTTCCTACCGCACGCGGAGCTCGGACCCCGCACAGAGGCCGCGCCCGGGCTCCCCTCGGGTGGGTGCGGGGCGTCCACGCGCACCGCTCGGGTTTGTATGCGGAGAAGCACCCAAGCGTGGAAAACGGTGACAAACACACGTGGAACACTTGGACGCCACGGTTTCTCTGATATTTTTACCTCAGGAGAGAGGCAAAAGCCGGCTTTGACAAGCAGGGCTGGACCTCATTTCTCCGCTTCATCTCCACCGGAGGCACCCTAGGGGACAAAGACAGGCTCAGAAACCAGGAGCGGCGGCGCCCACGGAAGCCCGGGCCCCGAACCCCTCGGCCCTTGAGAGGGCCCCGGGCGGAGATGAAAGACCCCCCAGCAGCCCCTTCCCCAGGACCCGCACACACTCCAGGACCCGGGGATGCCAGACGAGGGAGCGGGGAGGGCTGAGGCGACATGCGACCCGGAGGGTGTCAAAGAACCGTGAATCAAAGGACCCTCGAGAAGGGCCAGGGTCACCGCACCACCGTGGAAGCCACAGCCAGGCTGGCCGCTCAGAAGTCCCCACAGCCTGGAGCCCAGCTCCCCGGTGCGCCGGCTCCCGGGGTGCTCCGGGTCCTCCCGCCACACCTGGGACACCTGCGCGCACCCAGCCCGCGGAAGCACCCAGCCCGCAGCTCCCACAGACCTGAGCCTGCCACCCGGGACCCCACAGAGCCCACTGTTCGCAGTCGGATCTCAGGCTCCTCGCCTCTTGGCACAGGTCAGGCCTGTGTGTCCCCTGAATGGAGCACTGTTCTCCACAATTTAAAAGGGTATTGTGAAACAAGACAGAGGGAACAAGGGAAATAAATGAAGGGCCGCGGAGGGGGGATCCAGACTTAGCCAGGAAAGAGAAAAGAGCCCAATAAGAACGTGTCAACGACCATCACCCATGTGAAGAATTAATCTAAAAAGAAAACTAATCAGTGTTCCTCTATAGTCTGCAGGATTCAAACTGAAAGAAATAGGCTAAACTCTTCATGGAGAGACTCAATTTTCAGTGATTTTTGGTACAGAATCCCCGTTGTTAGAACGGACAGGTTTCTGAACTATGAGGCTAGTAAAGTCCTTATGTAGAGAAACATCTTTTGTGAATAACACAAACACAAGAATCCCTTGATTTATCCATACAGAAGATACATAAATGCGGTGGACCAGCACATCAGGCTATAAAAGCTAAATTACATTAAGAGGACAAAATGAAGTATAAGATATTACTTGATTTCTAAGGTTATTAAAAATATAGAAAACTGTTTTAGGATATTGTGAAGACAAACTTTGGGTTGCTTTTAAAAGAAAGACAATTAACAGTCTTACATAGGTTTTAAGGAAGCAATTTCATGGCACGAATAACCATCTAAAGTAACTTCCCACGGTACTTTCTGTGACTCCAGTAATGTATTCCTTCCATGAACAGCATTACGTTTCAATCAACCAGTGATGAAATTAAATGCAGAAGCATCAAGTTCTTTTTTTTTTTTTTTTTTGAATCTAGTAAGCACAAGCTAGAAACAGGATCTAGGACCTACTATTGAAAGCAAATAGTACTGAACTTTTGTCTAAGACAGGAAGTTGCCATGTGCTTATTTTGATTTAATTATAAACTACCACTCAGCCAAGATTTAAAGGTCATCAAAACTTTATTCCTCGCCAAAGGACCAACAGTAAGAAAAAGGACAAAAAGCTTATTATAAAAGTTTTCTCTGCAATAAACTATCTGTGCCTCTTCAAAGTTTTATATATGACATTTCAAGTCAAAGTTGTTTCAAAAGGTACATATATCATCATTCACCAAATATTTTTAAACAAAGGAAACCACCTGTAGTGTCTACATTTTATTAACAATCTCTTATCCAAGATCTTAGGTTCTAAAAGTCAAGTCCTACTGAGTCCAAGAATTACTCCATTAATTCAAGGAGATGATATATTATATAAAGACTGTTATGTCCCAAAGATAGGCAACACCATTGCTTCATTGAAAAGTTAGTAAAAAGAAGGTGTTGCTTCTCAGTTTTTTTTTTTTTAAGATTTTCTTTATTTTTTTTTCCCCCCAAAGCCCCAGTAGATAGTTGTATGTCATAGCTGCACATCCTTTTTTAGTTGCTGTATGTGGGACACGGCCCCAGCATGGCCGGAGAAGCGGTGCGTCGGTGCGCGCCCGGGATCCGTACCCAGGCCGCCAGCAGCGTATCGCGCGCATCTAACTGCCAAGCCATGGGGCCGGCCCATCTTCTCAGTTTTTAAACTGTTAGAGATGCAGTGTACAGGATGCTGGATGGTAAAATCCCAATTTATAATGGAAAGCTAGAAAGGGTTCAAAATGTTGCAGGGGTTTTTACAGGTCCCTCTAATCATTTGTCTGTCTGTGTGAAAGACTAGTTCAGGAGCTGTTTTTAAATAGCAAAAACGAAACTTACCAGTAGACATTTGTTCCCCATAATATACAATGGAGCACGTAGTAGAGGAAGACAGCACTCAGGAATATGACCACGAGGTACCCTCTCATGGCTGGCCCACCTGGAACACAGGGAATGAGGCCAGACAAAGGCAAGACTGTTACACAAACAGAGTCACACAGCGGCTCCAACATAAGCATTATGAATAAACACCTAGAGAGGGAAGAACAGAAGAATACGATGCAGACCTAGTATTGCCGAAATACCCACCAAATTTGCAGAATGAGAATATTTTTTCTGTCTCTCCTTGTCCTCTTATCTTTAATCAAAACAACATGATACATGTTTAGACCAGGAAACACATCCATGGTTTCAAAGCTAGTGACTTCCATACTACTCTCTCACGTTAGATAAGAAAGAAAAAATTTCATTCAGAACAAAGTTTTACACATTTATTCCACATCCAAAACGTTTTTTCAGAAACATTAAAAAATATCTAGTGTTTTCTCTCTCTCAATAGAAAGTGAATATATGCCTTAAGATGTAAACAAACATTTCATTTCTTCAGTGCTCGAAATGACTTTTAAATGCTATACATTATAACTTTTACAAGTCCTTTTTCTAATTTTCAAAAACTGAGAAAAAAGCTACTAAAGAATATTTCCCATATCCTCAATTTTTATACACTTTTAGACACACCCATTTGATTTTTCAATGTCACAGCACAGGTAAATTTAGCCAGTTACTTGCTTGTTTTTGTATTAAATGGTCAGTATACTACACTGCATGTTTCCAGACAGACAAAAACCTGGGCACAATCCTCTCTAGAATATAAATGAAAAAAAAAACCCTTTATAGAATACATATTTTTTAAAAACCTGAAACATGTTTGTTCGGTTCCTACTTTTCCTCCAAAAAAATGAACAAGTTCTCACTTCCGCATGTAATTAAATGCAAAAGACAAATTTAATACGTGATATGATTCTATACTACATCTTCTATTTCAGTGCATGTGACTAAATTTATACTATTCCTTTGCATCTCTTATCCAGTTTCCAGTTCATCGAGACAATTTCACATGACACTCCTCTCAGTTCTGTCCGTGTCTGTTAACCTCTACTGGGGTGATTCGGGGTAGAGCGTGTTGGGTCTGGTTAGACAGATTGCCAAGTAATGCAATGCTGCCCCCCTTTAACGGTCAAATAAGTTCAAATGGAAATCTTAAAATACAGATCTCCTTTGCCTTCAAAAGTAGAATATACTAAACACAATTTAAGCTGTTCTTGATAATGCGGGGCTATCGTAACAAACGACGTAATTGTGCTGGGCTCTGTTGGAGTGGGGACCCTCTGGAACTAACGAGGGTGTGGGGCTGTTTGCTGAGGGTCCTACATGGTGGTGATCAGCCGGTGGGGACTGCCCATCTCTCCCCGCCCACTGGCAGCTGTTGCTTCTCACTGCTGTTAAGGCAGCCACCACCCCCACATGCCATTCTTATAAATTAGTTAGAAGTGAAGACTGTCAGCAGAAAGCAAGTAAATGAGTTAAATGAGCAAATTGTAGTTTACACATACTTCTCATTGGGATGCATAGCCCCATGAAGAGTCAACACTGGTTGGGAATCAGAAGACACGAACCATGGTCCAGCTCCACACAGGTCCTGGCTCGGGGGCCTAAGGTAGATCAGTTCACCTCTTCCAACCTGAGTGTCCTCCTGCATTTACAAGTGACTGCACACAACCTATGTCTTTGGGCTATTAGTTAACCAAAATGATGGGCATCAACCTATGACCAAAATACGTGCTGAATAAGTTTGTGTATTTTATTGTCGTTTGCTTTCTAAAACTAAAGCCAGCTGTACTCTTTTTCTACACAGTAAAAGGCAGGGTTTTTGAGAAAGCCAAAGTGAGACCTGGCCCATCCTTAATGCAGCCTGCACCACATTCTTATTGGCCTGACAGGAAGCTGCGGCTGGGTGTGGCTTTGGCAGAAGGCCCAGCATCCTCTGAGGCAAAGGGAGGGGAGCATGTAAGGGCTGCTGCTTCCATCACGCCGGGCCTGGGCCTGGGCCCCCCTTCCACTCTATTCTGTCTTCCTCACCCGTTTGTAATGTATGCTATCTTGATATAGTGTGGGATCTTTTAAAAATCACCTTAAATTCTTCTTGGTAAAAAGCAAGAAATAAATTGCATGATATTTAGTAGCTAAAAAAAAAAAATAGTATGGTTCCATGCTATTTGAGAAATAATTAGTAAAATCCAAGTGATGAAGAGAATTAAGGTTTGGGGACCATCGCGTAGAAGTCTAAGACAGTGAGGTATTTGGGATGTTGGACGCAACGCTGAAGCGGCTGACTGAAGAATCAAAGACGGACAAGACGGCTAGCCCAGAGCCTGGCCCTGACACGTTCAACCAACGTCGGCTTTCCTTCCTTCCCTGGTACTCGCTGAATTGGGAAGGTCAAGACGCTGGGTCCTAAAAGGCAGTCCATCCTATCTGAGAGAGACGAGACTAGGAAACGCTGTGGCCGGAGGCCATGAGCGCTCCTTCATGACAAGGTACAGGCCCATTGGTGCCGACAGGGAGCCCACGTGCACTTAGCTTGTCTCATCCCTTCAACTGAACTGACCTCAGGAAATGCTTTTTTTCCCATGCAAGTAGCTCCCAAATATGAATATAGGATAAATGTAAGACTCCAAAGAACACAATCGGGTTATTTAGAGACCCTGAGACTCCTTTGAAAATCACTGTAATGAAGCCTTTTTTGTGGTACATGCTGATGGTCTCAGACATCAGGGGTGTCCAGCACCGCTGGGAATTCTAGAACCCGAGTTAGACTTGTATCTAGACAGCTTTAGAAATTACTGATACCGGGCTTAGGACAACCCGGCAGGCATTTTACCGTGGGCCAAAATAGTCACCAAACGACCTGCTTAAATACTCAGATTAAATACTTAAGGCTCCACCCAGAAAAACACCATTTATGCAGCACCCAACAAGAGAGCCACTTGCCAGTATAAGCAATTTTTTAAAAACATATTTACATCTAAGATAAGACAACACATGAAGGCCTAGAGAAAGAAATCAGTATTTACAATTCAATTTGCTTCTCTGTCCCCCAAAGCACATTCTTTGGGAAATTTATGTATTATTTTACAGAGCACAGAAGTATGGGTAAGCGAGATTTTTATTGTTTTCCATTCACTAATGTGGTTTAGCTGAAAACAAAGAAGTGTGAGAGAACATTCTTTTTTCCTTCAAAAAGCAAAATAAATCCACTCTTGAAGAGCCAGTGCCTACCCAACTGAGAAAAATTAAGAAAGCTTAGCCACTCTCTTTTATTTCATGGGCGATTCAAAGCGTCTGTAGTCAAGTTGCAAAGTAGAATGGGGCCAGCCAGGATATCCTTGTGATAAACATATATAGTTCCTCTGCTTGCTTGCAGGAAAAAGCTTTCACAGATAAATGAATTCTCTAATTATAATTCTATAAATGGAATGACCATTTTGCTTTGAGCAAAAGCATTCAAAGGAAAGCCAGTTAGAATTTAACAGAATGCATACTTTAAAAAAATAAATAAATATGGCCCTTCAATAGGAAACAAACAAGTTTGCAGATCTTGACATTAAAGATGATAGGCGCCAGCTTCTCGGCTGCAGCTCCTCCTAAGACCAAGGTCCCTCAAACATCCTGTACAAAGTTTCAATCATAGAGCAATTATTCGTCTACAGTGTGAGTAGAAGGCATCAAGGAGAGCAGGACTCATAGGCAGAGATCAAATGTTTATTTCTTCTCAAATGATGATACATAATCCAATATACGAATAACCTACATACGCCAAAGTGAGCTCAACCTCGGCAACAGTTTTTCCTTCTCTTTAATAAGAAAAGTCTATTTGATGTGTGTGGAGCTGTAAAGTTCATATAATGCTTGCATGCCATCACCTCACTAAAGGCTCAAAACAAGCTTGATAAACGGTTGTGCAGTTGTGATCTTCCTGAGGAAGAAGGGAAATGAAAGTTTCTCAGCTTCAGTGAGTTGTCGCGGGTCACGCAGTTTAAGAGACAGAAATAGACTAAAGGTCTGACCAGGGTTCTATTCCTGGTGTCGCTCTGCCTCTGAAGACAAAGGGCATGAGAGGCTCTCAAAAGAGGGAATTCGAATCTATGGCTTCCTGACAGCGTTCCACTGGTGGCGACAGTTCCAGAGGGTGAATTCAGATAGCGGTGAGGGGAGGTGGCCCCAGGGCAGCGTTCCCCAAAGCAACTTGGCAGTTCCAAGGCTCAGCACCAGCTGGGGGCCTGTCCACAGGCACAGGCCTGAGCCCCCAGTCGATCCGAAATCCCTGGGGCTCAGGAATGTGCACTGAAACAAGCACCTTCCAGTTTGATTCTTATGCATACTCAAGTTGAAGAACCACCGCTCTGGGATACGCTACAGACCATGGAGAAAAAAATCATGGATTTACTGAAGCACAGACATGCTAAGCGATGTCAGAGCAGTTATCCAGGAGCCCAGGTGCTGTCTGTCTATTGTTTCCTTTCCAGCACTTCTGACAACAGCTGGCACACAGAAGATGCAAAGTAGATCCCGTAACTAGATGCTTTGTTTTTACCCACAATGCCTAGCACACAGCAAATCTCCAACGAATAACGGCTGATTAGCGTGCACCAAGACCGGTGATAAATGCTTTTGGTGCACTGTCTCCTGTAACGCTCACAACCCCCTGTGAAGGGAGGTAAACCTACAGTGCCTATTGTACAGCCGAGGAAACTGAAGCTATGAGAGTAGCAGGACTTTCCTGGGCGGAGAAGTAGCAGAACCAGGACTCAAACCCGAATCTCTGAGTCCGGAGCAGGCATTGTACTGCTCCTCCCCAGATGTGAGCTTTTACCGACAGGCACAGGCCATGCCCTGGGCACCAAACATTACAGACATTTCTCTCCTTTGTGTATCCCCCCAGCTCCTTAAGTAGTATCAATTCTAGGGGTTGGTGAAACGGAGAGAAAGGTTATAGTCACCAACTGTGCTGAAATAAAACCTTGTTACTCCCAACCTTGTTATTCTGTATTTCAGTAAATCTATTTTTTTTCTCCGTGGTTCTGTTGAGCGTCCTAGAGC